TCATGTTTGATGATAAATCAGGTCCACTGAACGTCCAGTTGAACTCCTTGTTTATGTTGACCATTTGTGGCGGACGTGAGAGGTCTGGTCTGGAGTACAAGCAGCTGTTGGAGAAACATGGTTTTAAGGATGTCCAATGGAAGTACACACACACCAACAGTCTTGATGCTGTCTTGGCTATCAAACCTTGAACTTCTCTTCTTGTTCAATGAACTTTAGTATAGAGATTAAAGGGTTACTATATCTATAGTAATAACATGGAGTGGTTTTCATAAACCCGTGAAATACACTTTAGCGTATAATGCTTTATCACACTCTAATTCTATTGTTTTCTATTGTATCTTTTCGACTATTACACTCTAATTAGTACACTTTGTTTCAAGGGTTAATAAAAAAACACTCCACCTGGAGACTTACAATCGCAAGGAATAATGAGAATCCTCATTTTTGTCAGTTTTAATAAAAGTAAATTACCGTTCTTGTTGGTGGAAAAGATATACTTAACGTTTCATCATAGTGGTAGGTACTTTCCTGGGATGGACTTGGTCCAAAGCCATAACCTACTAATCCTACTTCTAGGTCTAACTCTTATATTTCCTGAAAACAAAAGACTTGTTCCAAACATAGAGTGCTGACCCTAAAAAATTCTTTTAAGTTGGGTTTTTACGATTGGCAATTGTTAAGGTTGAGAAAAACATAAGGAAACACGAGAAAAAGAGGTGTTTTGAGAGTTTCGTTTCAATAGTTTAAGCTTTGCTTTAGTGAAATCATTACATTATAAAGTTGGTTCTATAATAGATGGAAGAATGTCTGGTACATTTTTGATCTTGAAATCCAACAGCATTTGTCCCAGGGCCTTTCCCTAAGAAAAAAACCAATAAAAATTTCAGTTGGCGGGATAGGAGACATTTATCATTATCAAATCCAAATATTTAATTAAGTCAGCTGAACTTACTTGAGGATCACTTCTCAATGAAGTCACTCCTCCACCACCAAGTGCATCGTCTAATACAAAGTTAAAGGCATTGATGCCTGGAAGTTCGTACCTGAAATGAAAAAATATTTAAAATAGTGGTCCCAATATCGAACTTGAGGTACTCCTAAAATGAGGCTCAAGCAACGAAATTAAAAGGCTGATATTTGAAACATTGCAGTACAAAAAAAAAAAACATTAAATGGTCCCAATATTGAACTTGAGGTAAGATAAGTCTGAGGAAATTGGAATGCACCGATGCTTAAACGCTAGCGATTTCAAAGAAAGAAAAAAGAAAAAAAAAGGGTGTTCCCAAAATTGAGCTTTGTATTGAGGTATCACTGCTAACTGTATTGATCGTGAACGAAGCTCACCGCGTCTCCGAGAACAAATGGAAAAGGGATTTTGGCAACACTGAGTGCGGAGGTACTTAGGGTACTTATTAGATTCGAAAACGAAGAATAGCAATTAGTGGTCCCAATCAGAACCCTGTGGTACTCCGAAATACTCATAGAAACCCCGCTTCAATCTATAGTCAGAATAATCTATAGCAAATTGTTTGGTTAGTGGCCCCAAACAGAACCCTGTGGTACTCCGAAATCCTTAGAGAAATTCCACTTCAATCTATAGTCAGAATTATCATTGATCGATTTTCAAGACCTAGATGGACACAGCTATAGTTAGGGGTACGCGAGGAAGAATTGTTTATTAGGTATAAGCTATTGTGACCAGTCGGAAAAAAAAGGGGCAAGTAAGCATTATGAAAGATCTGAATACCTCTTGACACGACACTTTCCATCGCTTGGTTTGCCATCAAATAGATGAATAAAGTACTCTTCTACAGCCTCCTCTGTGAGTGCTCTTCGTAAAAATGGTACGTAAGAAGGGTGTCGAGCTATCACTCCTAATAAACGACAACGATAAATACATGAATATACGAATAGATAAGTAAATAAGATACATAAATAAATGGATTACTATACTTGGCAGAATGGGGCTAAAATGGTGAATGACGAATGGAAGGACGGATGGGCGGATTTTGGATAGATAGACAGATGATTGATTGGATGGATGAATGTGTAAGTATATTGAAAATCGGTGAATAAATGGATAAATGTATTTCACATTGTAAAATGCTTCTTCAACACACAAAATTACTATATTGTTTAGCTATGAAAGTTATTCTTTAATAATTACCTATGTTAACACTGTTGCCTTTATCACCACTTCTTGTTACAGCCAGCGAGCTCAGTGGAAAAGTGCAGCGGCCTTTGGGCATTCCTGAAAAAGAGAAAAAGAAGAAGAGCATGTCACGCAAACACAGAAAAGATTATTTCGATGACAATAGATAATATATTGAATTGTTTTCATTATAAAATTGAAAATGCACCGAGGGCACTATGCAATGAAGCAAAGTTTAACATTATTATTTCACACTTTGTCGATACTGTAAAACAGCCTAAAACTGATGAAACAAAAATGGTTTTGTCACTCTGCTCTTTACCATACGACCAACATGTCACTGTTGACATCACGTGTAAAGATTACGTGTTTTCACGTACTTATCCTGGCAGGAACGACTTGAGTTCTCGGAACACTCGCTTCTGTTAGTTTAGTTACTTTAGAAGGCACAACGTAATCCAAGGCTTCTACAAGTTCGTCATCCATATAAATTTCAGTCTGAAGAAAAATAAGACAGAAGCAAAACTCATATTATTTAACTTGTTTAGGTTGAGACGACATTAATGAATGCTATTTCTTTTACCTTGAATTTGCTTTTGGGGTACAGGAAAGAGAAAAGTCGGAGAAGTGGAGACCTGTTATTGAGACGAGATGGAAACGTGTGTTACATCAACATTAGACTTTTTCCAAGTCTACAGTGAGACTTGCAAAGTTTTACAAGTCTCGCTCGAAATTCTCGTGCACTATTTGAATAGTTTGCAACGGAAAAAATTAGCGAGCGAGACTTGGAGCAAGTCCACATCAACAATGCAATTAGTACGATCACTGCAGCCATGTTGAATGACATAGAAACAACAATACAGAAGTGTATTCAGGGCCAACTTCCCATGGGAATGAGCCCCAACCCACCTCTTCGTATAGAAGGATTACACGGTTATTTTACATGGGAAAAAATGTCTTTCCTGTCAAGAAAACGAGATTCTATTGTTCACAGTGGCGGATCCAGGACTTTAAGAGGGGGGGTTCATTTTTGCAAATCTCGGCACAACAATAACGTT